ATGACTAACGACATCTAATAGCTAAAACTTTATCATCGGACAAACACACCATTGTAGATGTGAATTTGAAGTTGACATCACGGACGGGAGCGGAACAATAACATTAGTAGTGTAAGATAAACTAGCTGAAAGAATGCTTTCACTGACAGCAGACCAGATATATGAAACTACCATTGTCAAGGTTCATATACTAACAACTCTAGAATCATTTTGCATCAGTCGAAATTAATTTAAAATCCTCACTTTGCTAGTTCTGTGGTAAACTTTTTTCCATAGAAACAACTGTTACCTGTTGAGCATATCAGAGAGCACCTGCTAGACAAGATGTTCAAAATTCATTTACAGAAATCACTACTTAGAACACCGGATAGACCACTTGGTACCTTTGTCATCTCATCTTACACGCAGAAACAGACTGTCTTCGACCTGGCACAATCTTCAACATCAGCTACTATTGCTGAGGGAAGTATAATGAAGCTAGAATCAATCAGTACTTCTGAAGAAGCAGATCGCAGTCCGTCGACACAAGATGAAAACCCAAGGAAAAAACCAAACGTACAATCAACATGTCCTTTGCAAAAATAATCAAGGTTGGAAATTATTTCTTGATAGGCCATATTTTTTTTTTAAGATTCTGTTGTCTGCTTTTAGGTTACTTAATGAACAATTACATTTACTGCTATCAATTTCAATCCATTAAAATGCTTATTATGTTAAAGTACACTTATGGGTTTTGCTTATACGATAAAGCCTAGGTTGCTCGCGCTATACTACAATTTCAGAATTTTCGAACAATTCAAAACAAAATCTATGTCCAATGTCTTTACAATTCTTTGTCCAAATTACGTATTCTCAACTACTCTTTTAAACTTAACTCTCAATTTGTTGTTCATACAGATGCCTCATCAGATTTGAAGCGCAACAAAGGTCGCCTCAATGGTCTTTGACAGCTTGCATTTAAGGCAGATTTTGGTGGTGTTGTTATACTACAGTACAATCTTCCACTTTTTTTGTAAATAAGTACTTAGATTTTCGTGAACTGTTTACTGCAGTACAATGTTTCACATTTTGTATAAATAGCTAGACAAACTGACTCTTACCAAGGCAGATTTTGGTAAGTACAATCTTCCGCATTTTGTGTAAACAACTACGCAGATTTTCATGAATTGTTTACTGTTAGCTATGCAAACTAACTTTTTGAATAATCTGGTAAATCCAAGTAGCTCCCATTATATATACGTTTATGTTTTCATCATACCTCCAAAACTTCAAAGCGTTTCACTGTAGTTGTAATCCAATAGCGAAATCACAACCGCATACCTATACAAAATAATATACAAGCTTAGCTTAGTGCTAACAAATTTACTCTCAAAAAGAAAAATTTACTATCAAGATCTAAAATGAAAACCCATCCACACAATATTACCCTTACTCCCTTACGTTAAGATTGTTCATCTTGGGCCCGGGCCTTGCCCGGGCTAACCCTACTAGTTTTTTACTATATAGAAGAGCCCTAAAGCAAGCAGGAGACCGTCGACATCCCTGCTTGCTGACACAGGGGCATTTAGGTAATTTCTCTTACTTCTCAAATTACCGTAGGACACGTAGCTAAAATTTTTTAGTAGGACAGCTGGGAGATGACGACGCATGACAGAATAAACAAGCGGTGACCACCGGGTTTTATTCTGCTCATCACCTTTCTCCGTTGTACTTCTCTATTTTCTCCAACAGTTCTCAGTTTCTCTCCTGGAAATATTAATACTTCTGGTGAGCTTTTCTCTATTATTGTACTGCTCTTTTTTATTTGCTTTGCTTCCTGTTTTACTGAGAATTTGTGAATAAAAAATATAGTTCTGTTGGTTTTCAAATAAAGTACTTATTAGAAATATGCGAATAAAAAATTATTGTTCTGTTGGTTCTGGAATAAAGCACTGAAAGCTCTTTCTTTAGGTTCGTTGATGTATTATGGTTAAAATTTTAATTACATCTTCTACAGATTGAGCTGCCACACTTCTAACAAAATTCGTATGATCGCTAAAATTGCAAAAGTGCATGGGATAGGTTTCCAAAGAAAATCTTTATTTTGTTTTCCCAACTTTGGGTATCGAGGCATCGAAAGGTAAAACTTTGGGTATCGAGGCAACGGAAGGCAAGCACCGCAGTAGGATACGATTCTTCTCAAACGGCTATGGGTGTCTTTGTTTGTGCCTGAGTAAGTAATTTGTCGACGCCCACAATGTGTTTGTTTTATTTAGTTAATGACTTGTTAAGTCTATTAGTAGTGGAGATTTATGTGATGGTTGTGATATTGTCTTGCACAATCATAGCATCATTATTATAGATCTTTTTAGAAAAAAAAATTCTCTTTATTGTCTGGTTTGGAGCTCTTGTGTTATTTTTTCCCCTATTGTCCTCTCTGTACTGTACAATTTTGCTGCCTCAACAATAGATAGTTTCATGTTGCAGTATTCTTGGGGATCATATGCTCATTATTCAGGTCTTATTGGCGATTACTATAGTTATTCACTAAAAATTATTCAGGTCTTATTGGTGATTGCTAGAAATATTCACTTGAAAAGGAATATTCACTAGAAATATGTAAAATATAACATAAGTTAGCGCACATCTATGGTAGGCACCATGCGTGAATTAGGTCCTTGAACTATACTGCTTTTGGAGGATCTAATTTTAAATTTTCTCTTTATACTTGCAGGATAGCGAAATGTATCGTGGGAAGCAATTGTATGAAAATGAGGAACGCTATGCTGCCTTAACTCATATGGTATAGAAAGAACTTTGCATAATTTACTGCTGCGGTGACGCAGTTTCTATTGTTGTACTATTTGTTAGGTGGTCTGATTAATGTCCTTGGAGGCAGTTCCTCTTATTGTGCTATTTGTTAGGTGGCCTTTTTTATGTC